TTACTCTGGATATGTATTTGCTTCCCTGCTCACAATGCTTCTGCCAAAACTACCAGCTGTGGACCTAGAGAATGCCTCCCCAATGTGGGTGGGCCTCATTCAATCCGCTGAAGGCCTGAATAGAAGAAAAGGTGGAGTAAGGGAGAATTCACTCTCTCTCTCTGTCTGACTGTCTTCAAGCTGGGACATTGGTCCTCTCCTGCCTTTGGACTCAGACTCATACTAAAACTTATATATCACTGGCTCTTCTGGTTCTCAGGCCTTCAGACTCAAGACCAGAACTATACCATCAGCCGTCCTGGGTTTTTAGCTTGTCAACTGCAGATCTTGAGATTTCTCAGCCTCCATAATTGCATGAGCCAATTTCTTATAATCAATCTCTTCATATATATATGTACATATTATATATATGTGTGTGTGTATATATATGTCTCTCTGTCTATATATATATACACACACACACGTATATATACACATACACAGACAAAGATATACACACACCACATATACACAACATTAGTTCTTTTTCTCTGGAGAACCCAGACTGATACAACGGCAATTCCTTCAAACTGGTAATAGGCACTAAGGGAAAGTCTAGAAAATGCAAAGGTGGTTTCTCATTTGTCCTTATCAAGCAGGGCCTCTTGATCAGGTTCTGGAGATCAAGAAAAAGACAGCAAGAGAGTGTACTGGATTAAGGGATAACCAGCAACTAAGGAAGGTAAGGTACTTGTAAAATTGTTTGATTCAACTCAATCTAACACATATTTATTGAGTACTAGGTAACAGAAATTTTATATATTTATATGTAAAGTTCTCAGGAGCTCTAGAAAATTCTGTTGTTTCCAATAAGAATCAAGCTGCAGAAATCATTTTTATGCTATTTATATTTTCACTAATCATTTCTCTTTAGTTTTCTTACATAAATTTAATTCAATCTTATCAAGGAAATAGCCTAACTAAACTTTGCTAAAAACAGTCAAGGAAAAGAATTCTGTCTGAGTTTAAGGAACATTGCCTTGGGGTAAGCCACCTGGAGGAGAGAACACAAAAGTAACAGAACAAACGAGATTATGCAACTACATCTTTCTATGTGGACATTCGTCTTTCTGAGCTAGTAGTTAGTCAAATCTTGGAAAGCTTCATGTTTTACTGAAGTAAGAGTGACTCCTCCCCATAATATCAATCTCTTATGGGTAGCCCCCCAAGCAGATACTGGTTGCTCGTGCTTATTTAAGTTCTTATGTTTGCAAATGAGTGTAAAACCCCACCTCACTACCGGCAAATCCAGCAAACAACATCAATGTGCAAGGATTAAACCAAATGTTGAGCTGTGATACACTGAAGTTTGGTAAGAAGCATTCACACAACTTAATTTTTAAAATATTTTTCTCTATGTTTTAATAAGGAGAGGGCTTTTGATTAGAGATATTTTTATCTTCTCTTTCTCTTAAACCTATACTAAAAGAACAGTAAAAATTTTTTGAAAACACATAAACCATAACAATAAAGGGAACTGGGGAGGGGACATAGCAGACAGAAACTTTCATAACTGATTTAGCAGGACCAGAGGAAGACACACTAAAGTGTGTATAGATGAGGAACTAAAGGGGAACCAATTTGCTCTGCAAAACCCCAAAGAGGGTCAAAATGCTAGATACAGGAAAAGGTAAGTATATGACCTACTAGGGTTAAAAATACGGGACTTAATTGGAAGTCTGCATAAGGCAAGAACAGACTCCCAGTCCTCTATCTCTATTCCAAGCAAAAAAAATTAGAGCTTTCTTCTCTGGAGAAACTGCAACGACCTCAGAAGGAAAAATCTTCCACTTAGTAAGTATTGAGGGTCCAACAACATCCATCCATCACTATATAATGAAGCCAGCAGGCTGACAAGCCCAGTGCATGTACAAAGAGTCCTGAAGCAACTTTTTAGTTCCTTACTCTCAAATATTAATAAATAAAAAAGAATCACTACATATTTGAAGAAAGATTCCAAAAGAAAGAGAAACCAAAATAAAGAACAAAATGACCATGTACAAAGAGAATGCAGGGAACCTGAAAAATCTTAACAAAACAGGAAAAAACAGTCTACTTAATGTAATTACAGACAAAACAAGAACTGAATGATATGAATAAGGAATGGTATACAATAAAGAGTTCTTGGAAACTGAAAATACAATTGCCAAGATAATAATTCAACAGAAACAGCTGGAATATGAAGTTGAGAATATATACCAGGAAACCTAATCAAACCCAAAGAAAAGGAAAATATGAAAGAAAAAATAAAAGATTAAGAATCAATTCAGAAGTTCTAGTTTGTGATTACCAAGAATTCCAGAAAGATACAGAGAAAATGGGGTAAAGAAAATAATCACAGAAATAAGAAAATTTCACACTACATGAATCTCCAAAGAGCCCATTAATTACCCACACATTAAGTGGAAAACAAACAAACAACTACAATAAAACTCAGATCCCAGGACATACTGTGAAACTGCAGAATGTCAGAAATAAAAGATTAAAAATCTCCCAGAGAGATAAAAACAAGCAAAATACAACTCAAAATGAATCAGAATATAGTGGGCTTTTCTCAGTGGCTAAACTGGATCCTAGAAAAGCAATGCCTTCAAATCGCTAAGGGAAAATGCACCTCCATCCCAGCCAAATTATTAATATCAACTAAATGTGAGAGTAGACAAAAGAAATTTTCAGTCTGTAGTAACCAAAAATCTTTACCATCCATTTGCCCTCTCTTAGGAAGTAAATTAAGGATATACTCCAGCTAAATGAGGGAGTAAACTGAGAAAAAAAAGGACACGTTATCCAAGAAATAGTGGACCCAATCCTAGAGAAGCTTCAGACAGTAACCTGTTCAGATTAGGAAAGGCTGACTGAGGTGGGAAGAGTGACAGAAATACTGTTCTTTCATTAAGATTCCGGATACTATGTTAATTTTTTTTGTATTATGTATCAAACTGAACTTTTTAAAATTTAGTAATATTAAAAGGGAAAAAATTAAGAGGCAGTTATATGAAATCTTTAACTCACTCAGCTTTTAACTTTCATTAGCATTTTGGGAAACTTTAAGATGCCCTAAAAAGATTCTGCAATTTTCTCCTCCTAATTTTGTTTTTACTATATAAACAAAAAGTAAAGTCAATCTGATCAGTGTGTACTACCTACAATTTCAAAGGTCATAACGACAGAAAAGAGACATTAAGAGATTCACAGCTGGGGCCAGCCCAGTAGCATAGTGGTTACGTTTGTGCGCTCTGCTTCTGCGGTCCAGGGTTCGCGGGTTTGGATCTTGGGCACAGACCTACACATCACTCATCAAGCCATGCTGTGGTGGCGTCCCACATACAAGACAGAGGAAGACAAGCACAGATGTTAGCTCAGGGACAAGCTTCCTCAAGCAAAAAGAGGAAGACTGGCAACAGATGTTGGCTCAGGGACAATGTTCCTTACCAAAAAAAAAAAAAGGAGATTCACAGTTTTTCTATTTTCATAGTACTTATCACTGGTTACCAATTCACCTATACTGTCCTTAATTATGCTACTTCTCTCATTATTAGAGGTGGTCTGGTCTTATTAGCTGATATTTAATCATGCTTCATGTTTCAGGGCAATAACCCCGGTACAAAAGAGGGTATATGATATAGCTAGTACAATGACTGACTCAAAATAGATATTTAACATATTTTAGCTATTTCCCACCCTTTCTACCTCCTCTTTGTTTTACTCTGAAGCTCCTGATCAGAAAATCTTCTCCCCAGACCAACGAGCAGAGAAATACTATAAAACAGAGTCTATCTCCTAGTTACAGTTGAACTAAGTTGTAAGCCCTATGTCTGGATATTTCAATCATGGAAACTCTTTCTGTCTTGAGAGGAGTCCAAGAATCTCAGATCCAAAAAGGATCTTCCACTTTCTTTCTGCCAGCCTTAGCACAGAACAGTTTCTCTTAAAAACGTAGTCAAATATCCACAAGAATGGAGAATAGTAGCCCAGAGAATCCATAACTGAGTAATATAAAACCATATACATGACTTCAACAGAATATTTACACTAATCGTCATTACTAACACAGGAGCCATACTTCACTTCAACTAGCCTTTACTGAGCATATATCATGAGTTGGTTTTGATGGCCACCAAGAATTCTCAGACTTGGGCCCTGTATATAAGAAGGTAGAACATACAATCCTGAGGAAGGTAACTCGCAAAGCTGAGCAAAGAAGCCAGACTCTTCTTTCTCAACCATAATTTTAAGCTAATTTGGCTAGTCTACAAAACACAAATACAGATTTAAAACTAAACAAAAGATATCTATAATTTAAAATTAGTATTTTATTTCTCAGTTTCCTGCTATGCATCTGACCTTGTCTGTAAGTACTAAATGTTCAAGTAAAGAAAGTACTATTGAATCAGAAGCCAGGTTCTACCATCAGCTCACCTTGTGTCTTTGGACAAATCACATCACTATGAGTCTAGATTTCTCTCAAATAAAAAAATGAGACGACTGGGGAAGATTAAACTTGAAGGTTTCAAACAAAAGTGAAATTATATGACTATGATTATCTAAGTAAAAACTGCTATTTCTTATCTCCCACTTAGCTGAAAGTCTAGTAGCAGCCACTGATGACTGAATGCCTGCTATGTCTCAGGTATCAGACTGTTCAGTTTACAACTACTATTTCTAACTCTTTCAACAACTTTACAGTGTAGGTACTGTAAAAATGAGGACACAGAAACAGAGAGATTGGCTTACCAAATATCACACAACTCAGAAATGCTGAGGGCTGTACTGAGACCATCATGCCAAATCCCATGGTTTTTTTTCTCTCAGAAAAGGTTCTATTATGTACTATTTACAAGCATTATTTCTACAGAAATCTAAATAGACATAAGAAACCCAATTAACTCTTTTTTTAAAGTCAAGTCACCCTATTTTGCAATTCAAAATATCAGAGCTGAAAATGTTCATTATATACTCACCTGATGCAGCAGACGTTTCAGTTTGAGTAACTGGGTTTTGACAGCAGTGCAATCCTGGACCATGTGCCGGAGGGTCATCTCATCCAGTATCACTGTATTTTCGGGTACATCTACAAACATCTTCTGAGCCTGGAAAAAGGGGGTCCCTCCATAGCTTTCAAAATGTCCCAAAGGAGATTCTCTATAGGGAGAGCCTCTGGAAGGGCAGGGGAAGAAATTGGAGGGAAAAGATATACAATATAATTTCAGAAAGAAATAAAAGTAATGAAATTATCGCAATGATTATTACAAATCATTTATCATATCACAAAGCCTCTGTCTTTTATTCACCTCAAACACTGAGTTTGTTTCCACTGAAAAGTCCTATCAGTTCTAGCTGTCATTAATACAATTGTCTTCTGCATTCCCCCTTTTGTGTGTATTTCACACATTGGTTGAATAAATCTTCTTCCTTAGGAACTAGAATAGAAAGAAAAAACTCTGGGGAAAGGCCTTGCCTGGAAAAAATTATACTTATTTTCATTTTCTGCACCGATTTGTCTGCTATTTAGCTTTTGACTTGAACTGGCCTCTTAAGTTTCACATCTTTTTTAACCCCATAACTATTCTACCCACATTAATTCCTAGTTTGGACACAGTCCTGGACTCCTATTCCTTGAAAGTCCCAGTAGATAGTTAAGACAGACAAACTATTATTCCTTCTTTTGTTTTTACATTGTTAGTAAGTCATCTTTTCCAATAAAGATTAAACAAAGTTTTATAAAAGTCTCATACACACCACATATTTTCTAATACTAAATTACATTAAAAAAACCTACTCTAAAAAATTGAAACTTACCTTTAGTTTCATACAATAATATACATGCTGAATAAGAGAAGGAAAAAAAAAGAAAACTAGGGATAATGTGTTTCATGGACATGAGAAACACAATATTTTAACCAGAAGTTATAGCTACAGCAGTCCAAAAATGACTGCATTCACATTACACATAACGCCAGTTGGTTCTTAAGACAAGAACTTGTTATCTATGTGAAATCTCAATATTTATAATAACACTGAAAAAGTATTCTCTGCAATATAATGGCTATGTTAATATATCAGGATTAAAGTTAAATTCATGATGCATCAAATCTGCAAAAGTCACAACACATTAAATTTTAACCATATTGAAAAAGTATAAATATGGTTTCTACTAAATTTTCTAGCTTTTAACAAATATTCCCAAATCTCTAAATTCTCAAATTTTCAACACAAGCTTGGCTTTCACAAGATTATTTTTCTCTGAAACTACTTCTCAATACTTGATTTCAGGCCTGGTTTTTCTTTCAACTCAAGAAAAAGATTTTTAAGAACTTTTAAATTGTTGATCCATAGGTAAGACTCTAATTTGTTCACATATAATTCTGTTTTATTTTTATTGGTTCAAAATATAGTTGAATGATTAAATTTCAAATACTAATCAATTAATTAGTAAGAATTTACAATCCATGACTGAATAGATGGACAATCTAGACATGGACTGATGAAAAATGTATAGTAATAAAAAGTTAACAAAATAATCAAGACAAAAATATAGAATCACCTGGCAAATGAATTAATAGAGATGATAAGAGCTATGTTTTCAGACAAAAAAAGTTGACACACTTTGGGAAATTTTCCCGGGTAGAAAATAACTTGGGATGAGCTATAAAGTATGAGGTTTGAGTTTCACTAAAACGAAAGGCTAAGGGTTTCTAGAAAAAGAAGATGAAAAGTAATGACATAAAGTGTAAGGCACATTTTTCAGGGTCAAGGAGACTCTTAAATATGGCTTATGAGGCCATAGATAGCCTGAATCCAAATTTATTCTTCAATTTCATCCCTTAACGCACCTGCCTCCCTCAACTGACTTCTTAATCCATAGCCAAATACTTGATTTTGCCAAAGCATGGGACAGCCTTCCTCATCTCCAAACTCATGTCCTCAACCTCTCTCTACTCTCAGCAAGTCTACCCATCCTGCCCGCCACCGCACACTTGATCTGGAGAACGACAACTCCTCTTTATCTGAAGTTAGTTGGCATTTCCTCAGGGAAAGCTCCCTTAATTCCCTAAGGCAGCACTTGGTACTCCATAGGTGTCCGCATAGAGCCCTGTACTGAGTCCCATTACAGTACTTGTCACAGTATATTGTGTTCATTTACAATCTGTGCTAAATTATAAACTCCATGAAGAGATGGACTATGTATTCATTTCCTCTGTATCAGATAGAGTTCGGTTTTTTTTGTCTGTTTGTTTTTGTTGTTGTTGTTTTTTGTAAATGAGTAAGAAGCACTGATTTTACCCACCAGGTTGATTTTTTTTTTAAGCTTCCATCTCTGAGATTCTAAAATTCTTTCGTTGTGACATGAAAAAGCATTACTTCAGAATTATAATCTAGAAGCAGTCACAATAAAAAGTTCCAGTTAATAATCAAATTAAAATTTATTTTTTATTTTACCAGTTTAGTAAAAGAAAGATTAGAGAAGGAAGAGACTAAAGGAGATTGGACTACATGAGAATCAGGTACAAAATGAGGGTTTATATTAGACTGACATAAATATGAACCACACGCATGAAACTAATGAATTAAAAACTTCAAAGGAAAAGGCAACAAGTCTTGATCACTAACTGAATACAGGGACAAAAAATTAGCATTTAGAAAAGCCACAGTAGTGTAAAAGAGCCAGCTCCAGCCTAGGATTTAGGTTTAAATTTTGGCTGACAGTAACTAGCTACTAAAAATAATTAACATCTTTGGGCCATAGTTTCTTTAACTCTCAATGTTCTCCAATGCTTAATGAGTAAAACATGCCTTAGGGGGCCGGCCCCGTGGCTTAGCGGTTGAGTGCGTGCGCTCCGCTGCTGGCGGCCCGGGGTTCGGATCCTGGGCGCGCACCGAGGCACCGCTTCTCCGGCCATGCTGAGGCCGCGTCCCACGTACAGCAACTAGAAGGCTGTGCAGCTATGACATACAACTATCTACTGGGGCTTTGGGGGAAAAAAATAAATAAACTACACTGGTCTTTAAAAAAAAAACAAAAAAACATGCCATAGGTTGCATTTCAAAATAATTCCACCATTAGATCCAAAAGTAAACTTACATCTATTCTTAGTACTGAAATGTTACTTCCTCCAGAAGCCCTTCCTAATCCCTTCAACTAGATAAGACCTCTGTTTTATGATCCTTAATTTATTTTACAGCACAAAGTAAAGAAATCTGTGTATGTATCACCTCTAAGTACACTGTAAACCCTTTGAATATAGGGCCATATCTTATTCATTCTTATGTTACTTGCACAAGTTATCTGAGCTCAAATCTCAGCTCTGTCACTTACTAGATATATAACACACAGGGTACTTAATCTCTCTATGCTTCATATTTCTGATCTATAAAACGGGGATGATAAGAGTACTTACCTCATTAGGTTGGTATGAGAATTAAATGAGGTAATATATGTTAAGTGCTTGGAATGGTGACTGATACACAGTAAATGTTAAAAAAATTATTATTGTTAGTATCAATAATTTCCAACTTCTTTATATTGAAAAGATTTTCTAACAGAAATTCAAAAGAATACTATAATGCCCTATATCCTCCACTTATATTCCCCAATTAGTAAATGTTGGACACATTTGCTTTATATCTGTGTATCTGTTGTTAAACCATCTGACAATAAGTTGGAAATAACACCTCACTGGAGGACCATCTGAAGTCTGCTGGAAAAAAATAAATACAATTGAGAAGGCCAAGAGGCAGAAGAAGAAAAAGATGGAACAGAAAGCAAATATATGAGGTTATTTTCAGAAAATAAAAGGATATTATTAAGACAGGAACAGAAAAAATATAGGATAGGGAGAAAGCTAATGAAGATTCTGAGATTTCACATTCTGAGAAGATAATGCAATTCACACATGAGAACTTGAACCTTCAAAACAGAATGAGAGGTAAAATCACTTTCCAAGAGTGCAAGCACAAACCCAGGGACAAAGGCATAGAGAAGGTGATGAAATATGAACACGAGACAATAGAGGAATTACTGGCCACAACACTTTGTATTAAGTTGACAGGCATAAATTAGTACTTGGGTACAAATTTTAACAATCACAGATTTCTAGTACAGAAATTAGATGGTGAAAGCAACAAAAGACTGCAAGCTGCTTTGGGGAACACACTGGAAGGTTAGCAGTGTGTTAGTAAAGGCAGAACCTATGTGGCTGATCACAGGCCAGATGGGCTAGTAGATAAGAAGAACTGAACCAGTACAGGGATGGATGAAAGCAAAAATGAGTTCAGGGCTTACAGAAGCAAGAGAAAGAAATGCCCACTATCACTAATACATTGTTCTGTAAGTCCAGCCAATAAAGTCAACAAGAAAAATATAAGACCAGAATAACTACAAAAAGGAATCTTTAAGAGAAAGCCTTTTTTTTTTTTAACTCATTTAAATTGAACCCACATACAGTGGCAGCACCTGATATTCAATCCATATGCCTAATAATATATGCATAATCACTTATTGCGGTTTTAAAGGAATCTCCCCTAATGACATGACTGTATCCATATACTCATATTTTTCTCCACTTTCACCCAAGCTTCTTGATTACTAAGATGTGTGATTCTGTGCTAAAATTAAGGTTTGTGATTCGTAAGTTAGACTAGCAAGTGGAGGGGTGGGTGTGCGTGTGTGTGTGTGTCTGCATATGTGAGAGAGATTTTTCTTCTTCATTTATTCGTTATTTATTAATCTGAGTCGCAGTTTGACTTTTACAAAATCTTTAGCATTTCTTTCTTCACCATTAATAAAGCTTCTTTCCTCACCATTAATAAAAACTACACATTTTATGTTCACAGTTATATATTTTTAATGGTAAATTCAACACAATCTCAATCAAAATCCTAGCAAGTCATTTAGTGGATACCAATAAAGTGATTCTAAAGTTTATATTAACAAGCAAAAGACCCAGAATAACCAACACAATATTGAAGAAGAAGAAAGTTGGATGCTGACACTATCTCACTTCCAGACTTACTATGTAAAATGAAATAATCAAGACAGTGTGACATTAAAGAACAGACAAATAGATCAATGGAACAGAATAGAGAGTCCAGAGATATACCCGCACAAATGTAGTCAAGTGATCCTTGACAAAGGAGCAAAGGCAATGCAAAGGAGA